ATAAAACGTCATAAAACGTCACTTCCTAAATCATTGAACGCTATCCTCGGCCTACATCATCGTCTTCCATGCCCCGTCATGATGGATTTTTTAATTGACTTAGACATGAAAACCCACGTTTTTTATTCCACTAAACGAAGGTAAATAATCCCAGTTTCTTACAGAATGCCTTGGTAGGCACAAAATCAGAGGACATCGATGTGCCACAGCCCGATGAAAGTCCTTCTCGATCTAAGTGCGCCCCAACATGTTGAACATCGTATTAGCATTCACTCTATTCCGTAACGTTACTCTCGAGAACCCACTGTTTTATTGCATGTATGGTCGCTTACTGAATGCAATGTGGCAGAACCGGTATGAAAATATTCAAAAACAGAGGACATCATAAGACCACCGGCTCCTAAAAGTGTAGGGTATTTTGACAACGTCCCTAAAACATTACCCATTTTGATCGGTCCTTTGATTGACATGGACTCGAGAACCCATGTTTTTTATTGCATTTAATGAAAGAAAATAATCATATTTTCTTATAAAATGCGTGAAAATATTTAAAATCAGAGGACATCGATGTGCCACAGCCCGATGAAAGTCCTTCTCGATCTAAGTGCGCCCCAACATGTTGAACATCGTATCAGCATTCACTCTATTCCGTAACGTTACTCTCGAGAACCCACTGTTTTTATTGTATGTATGGTCGCTTACTGAATGCAATGTGACAGAACCGGTATGAAAATATTCAAAAACAGAGGACATCATAAGACCACCGGCTCCTAAAAGTGTAGAGTATTTTGACAACGTCCCTAAAACATTACCTATTTTGATCGGTCCTTTGATTGACATGGACTCGAGAACCCATGTTTTTTATTGCATTTAATGAAAGAAAATAATCATATTTTCTTATAAAATGCGTGAAAATGTTTAAAATCAGAGGACATCGATGTGCCACAGCCCGATGAAAGTCCTTCTCGATCTAAGTGCGCCCCAACATGTTGAACATCGCATCAGCATTCACTCTATTCCGTAACGTTTCTCTCGAGAACCCACTGTTTTTATTGCATGTATGGTCGCTTACTGAATGCAATATGGCAGAACCGGTATGAAAATATTCAAAAACAGAGGACATCATAAGACCACCGGCTCCTAAAAGTGTAGGGTATTTTGACAACGTCCCTAAAACATTACCCATTTTGATCGGTCCTTTGATTGACATGGACTCGAGAACCCATGTTTTTTATTGCATTTAATGTAAGAAAATAATCATATTTTCTTATAAAATGCGTGAAAATATTTAAAATCAGAGGACATCGATGTGCCACAGCCCGATGAAAGTCCTTCTCGATCTAATTGTGCCCCAACATGTTGAACATCGCATCAGCATTCACTCTATTCCGTAACGTTTCTCTCGAGAACCCACTGTTTTTATTGCATGTATGGTCGCTTACTGAATGCAATATGGCAGAACCGGTATGAAAATATTCAAAAACAGAGGACATCATAAGACCACCGGCTCCTAAAAGTGTAGGGTATTTTGACAACGTCCCTAAAACATTACCCATTTTGATCGGTCCTTTGATTGACATGGACTCGAGAACCCATGTTTTTTATTGCATTTAATGAAAGAAAATATTCATATTTTCTTATAAAATGCGTGAAAATATTTAAAATCAGAGGACATCGATGTGCCACAGCCCGATGAAAGTCCTTCTCGATCTAAGTGCGCCCCAACATGTTGAACATCGCATCAGCATTCACTCTATTCCGTAACGTTACTCTCGAGAACCCACTGTTTTTATTGCATGTATGGTCGCTTACTGAATGGAATTTGACAGAACCGGTATGAAAATATTCAAAAACAGAGGACATCATAACACCACCGGCTCCTAGAAAGTGTAGGGTATTTTAACAACGTCTCTAAAACATAACCCATTTTGATCGGTCCTTTGATTGACATAGACTCGAGAACCCATGTTTTTTATTGCATTTAATGAAACAAAATAATCGCATTTTCTTATAAAATGCGTGAAAATATTCAAAATCAGAGGACATCGATGTGCCACAGCCCGATGAAAGTCCTACTCGATCTAATTGCGCTCCAACAGGTTGAACATCGTATCAGCATTCACTCTATTCCGTAACGTTACTCTCGAGAACCCACTGTTTTTATTGCATGCATGGTCGCTTACTGAATGCAATTTGACAGAACCGGTATGAAAATATTCAAAAAACAGAGGACATCATAACACCACCGGCTCCTAGAAAGTGTAGGGTATTTTAACAACGTCTCTAAAACATAACCCATTTTGATCGGTCCTTTGATTGACATAGACTCGAGAACCCGTGTTTTTTATTGCATTTAATGAAAGAAAATAATCGCATTTTCTTATAAAATGCGTGAAAATATTCAAAATCAGAGGACATCGATGTGTCACAGCCCGATGAAAGTCCTACTCGAAGTAACTGCGCTCCAACATGTTGAACATCGTATCAGCATTCACTCTATTCCGTAACGTTACTCTCGAGAACCCACTGTTTTTATTGCATGTATGGTCGCTTACTGAATGCAATTTGACAGAACCGGTATGAAAATATTCAAAAACAGAGGACATCATAACACCACCGGCTCCTAGAAAGTGTAGGGTATTTTAACAGCGTCTCTAAAATATAACCCATTTTGATCGGTCCTTTGATTGACATAGACTCGAGAACCCATGTTTTTTATTGCATTTAATGAAAGAATATAATCGCATTTTCTTATAAAATGCGTGAAAATATTCAAAATCAGAGGACATCGATGTGCCACAGCCCGATGAAAGTCCTACTCGATCTATCTGCGCTCCAACATGCTGAACATCGTATCAGCATTCACTCTATTCCGTAACTTTACTCTCGAGAACGCACTGTTTTTATTGCATGTATGATCGCTAACTGAATACAATGTGACAGAACTGGTATTAAAATATTCAACAATAGAGGACACCATGACAGTACCAGCCCCTAAAAGTGTATAGTATTTAAACAAAGTCTGTATTATACGAGGCATTTTGATCGGTCTTTTCCTTCACTTTGACTTGAGAACCTATGTTTTTTTATTGCGCGAAATAAATGAGAGTCATCGCATGTTCATTGTTCCTATTGAATGCATTATAATATGCAAAATGAGGGGACATCGATGCGTCTCAGCCCGGTGAAATGCCCAGTTGATGAATAGCTGTTTGGCCCATTTTAACACTGCGTCGGCATTTACACAGCTTCCGAACGATATGCCTGATAAGAGAACATGAATTCTTAGGTATTGCGAGCTGTGGGGCCTGTCCCTGTGTTCATACGCTATACCGGCTATACCCATTCTGGCATGAAGAAGACATTCTTAGCTTGTAAAGATGTGTAGTAAAAATAGGTTTTTGGTCTTCTCATTATGTTTAAGTGATATTTCATTTCAAGTTGCGTGTAGAGGGATTTCTTTTCAGTGTTTTGTAGAAAATAAGGGTGAATTAGCTGTTAAAACCAACACTTATATAACTACAAGCTTGGATAGTAGTTTCTTGGATTAGGAGTTTTCACTACAGGGATGAAACTTTTGCACTACAATGACGAAAACGTCATCAATCGTCATCAGATATCGTTAATTTTCTGAAAGAGCACTTCCGGCAGAAGAAAACGCATTACACAAAATAATCGAAGTGTCTTCACTTGTTATTTATTACACTATGACTGTCATATGGCACTCAGCCGTAAACATAAGCAAATGCTTTCCGCCTTCCGGTCTGCGCAACATGGCGGCGTCCACTGGACACCATCTGGCGGCCGGAGCCGAAGGTGATTCAGTGGTGTTGTGCTGTCCCATCGTTGAATGGCGCACAACATGGCGCAGTGAAATATACCAAGGGGAATTTACTTTTTTGCGTTTTTTGCAAGGCTACATAGTTGGACGCAAGAGCCAAGCTGCTACGCGCCCTAACCCAGAACAACAACAGCAAGGCTACATAAGTACTCTCCCCACCATTACGGCCTGTTTATACGACATATAGGGCCTTGTATACGGCTTTAGACTATTTACGGCATTTTCTCCGCTAGTTTCCTGCGTACCTACTTCCTAGGTACGGTACAAACTGTGCGGCCTCATGTATCTGCCGTTTATTGGTTTTGATGGGGCGAGATTAGCCAAAATGCCTTCCTGCTTATAGTGAGATGTAGAGACACATTTTATTGGTGAATGGACAATGGTAGTAGGGTGAAAGACCTTGGATAATCGTATTAAAGAAATAATGAGTAGACCATAACAAGACGAAGCTGGCCGAAGCTTGGAATAGCAGAATAGGTAGGTACACACGGGGGCAGATTGGCTGCCAGTGCTGCCTGCCCTCAGCACTGCTCAGCACTGCCTGCCAGTGTCAGTGCTGCCACTGGCAGCAGCTAGTGCTGAGCCATGGGATCCCGATGGGTGGGGAGTAGTGGAACATCAATCTGCCCCCGAGTGTACCTATAACCTACTTGCCTGCTTAGTTCTGGGTGACTTTATTCACACTACTGCATAATGCATATGCCTGCTCGTGTGATGTCTGCCTTACCAATACTGGTGCTTCCTATTGAAGCAAGGATCCTGACTATCTCAGGCAGCTTTTGCCAAATTGTCAGGGAACTCAGATTTGTTTTTCAATAGAAAAACACAATTCTAAAGAAAAGTGTTTTAACTATTGACAACAAACCTTCAACAAAACAAGAGTCAGCTCTCCCATCCCCTGTCCTTCCTCTGTAGCTGAAGGAGTCAGCTCTCCCCTCCCCTGTCCTCCCTATGTAGGTGAAGGTCCCTCGCCCCTGTCCTTCCTTTTGTAGGTGAGGGAGTCAGCTCCTTTCCTGCCCCCCCCCCCCATGTAGGTGAAGGAGTCAGCCCTCCCCCTGTCCTCCCTCTGTAGGTGAAGGAGTCAGCTCTCCCCTTTCCTGTCCCTCCCTCTGTAGGTGAAGGAGTCAGCTCTCCCCTCCCCTGCCCTGTCCACCCTCAGCAGCGGCCATGGAGGCGCCGCACCCGCTGGCCATGATGCCGGCCGGGATGGGCGTGGCCGTGAAGGAGGAGTGGGAGCGCCAGTCGCCGGTGTCGCTGCACTCTGCTCACCTGCAGCACGGCAGCGCGGCGACCATCCTGGCGCCGCTGGGCCGGCCCGGCCACGCGCAGCACCCGCTGCCGCTCAGCATCATGAGCGTCACCATGCAGGAGCCGGGTACGTGTTGGTTTGCGGCGGCACACAGTGCCGCCCAGTGGTGCCCAGTGGGCCACACACGACTGCCGCTGGGCACCCCTGCGTCCTAGGCCAAATCGCTGGAAATTCGAAGTTTGATTGCTGACTGCTATTTAGTACATGGTATTTTACTGACTTTTTTATTGCGTATGTCTTGGTTGTCTCGGTTGATACCTCCCTGACATTCCAGACCTATACTGGAATATGGAAACTGTGTGTGGGGTCCTGTCTATTGCGGTGACCAAGACAAGGTTGGTAGAGTTCAGAGGGGGGGCCACAAAAAATGGTAGCATCAGTCAGGCATCTAGCATACCAGGAGCGTCTAGAGAAATTGAAGTTACCAGGCATGCGCTACAGAGGAGAAAGAGGGAATATAATCATGGTACACCAGATTCTAACTGGAGGAATTAGGATCGACCACACCCGGATCTTTCAGAGAGCACCGTCAGACACAACCACAAGAGGACACTCACTGAAACTGATTAAACCATCGGCGAATCGTGTGCAGAGGCAGAATGCTTTCTCATAACAGAGTTGTGACCAAGTGGAATAGTGTCTCTGAAGAAGCCGTAAATGCCAGAACAGTCAACAGATACAAAAATGCTTTAGACAAACACTGGAAGAACTCGATGAATCTAACCAGAACCGAGTGAACTGCAAGTCAATGGGCAGGAAATCCACAGGCTTCATTATCCTAGCTTATTACCTTTGCTGTAATTCAGTAAGTAAGTAAGTGTATGGCTTGTAATAGGCAGACCATCCTGACGTGTGTTCCTGTTCTCCGGCAGACTGTCTGCTGCTCGGTAACGGCAGCGCTGGCGGCGGCGGCACCGCGGCCGCCCGGCCCCCACCCGAGCCGTGCCGTTGCGAGCAGTGCGGCAAGGTGCTCTCGTGCGCGGCCAGTCTGCGCCGGCACCAGGTGACCCACTCGTCGGAGCGGCCGCACGCCTGCGCCGAGTGCGGCCGGGCCTTCTCCACGGCCGCCTACCTGGCCGCCCACCAGAGCACGCACACACAGGAGCGGCCGCACACGTGTCCCGTCTGCGGCAAGGGCTTCACGCGCTCCACCGGCCTCAACCGGCACATGGAACTGCACCTGGAGGGTCGCCGACTGCCGGCGCCGCCGCCGGCCGTCAGCTCGGCCGCGGCCGGAGGGGCGCCGCCGCCGGCGGCCACGGTGCCGGCGGCCGCGCGCCCGCCGCCGCCGGCCGGCGCCAGCCCGGCCGCCCAGTGCGGCGTCTGCGGGAAACACTTCACTCGCGCGCTCAGCGTCAAGGCGCACATGCGGATCCACACTGGCGAGCGGCCGCACAAGTGTCCGCTGTGCGCCAAGGCGTTCAAGAACGCCTCCCACCTGAAGGTGCACAGCCGCACGCACACCAAGGAGCGCAGCCACGCCTGCGAACACTGCGACAAGCGGTTCGCCGAGTCGAGCAGCCTGCGCCGACACATGCTGGTGCACACGGGCGCGCGGCCGTACGAGTGCGATATCTGCGGCAAGGAGATGCGCTACCTGTCCCACCTGAAGGCGCACCGGCGCAAGCATACCGGCGAGACGCCCTACCAGTGCAGCCTGTGTGGCCAGCTGTTCCGGCTCTACCAGACCTACCGACTGCACGTTAAGAAACACGAGGGCCAGCTGCCCACGTGCGACACGTGTGGCAAAACGTTCAGCAGCCGCACGCGGCGCGACGAGCACGCGGCGCTGCACACGGCCGGCGTGATAAACGAGCGCGGCGAGGCGCCGCCGCCGCCCGGCCGGCCGCTGGGCCTGGCGCACCAGCCGGCGCCGGCGCTGCCGCCGCACCCTGGCCGGCTGCCGCTGCGTCTGGACACGCTGCTGGGCCGGCGGCCGGACGGCCCGCAGCTGGCCGAGCACCGGGCCGCCGACAGCCTGCTGGACCGCCGGCTGGACGAGCCCATGGACGAGCTGTCGGTGGACGGGCCGCCGCCGCCGCCGCTGCCGCAGTGAGGGCGGACCGGGCGGGCGCGGAGCGGAGCGGAGAGCAGTGATCTGACCGGCAGGGAGCGGGCGGCGGCGGACGGTCGGCGGGATTTGCCGCCTCCACAGCCAGCGGGGCGACTGGGGCCGGCGCGTGTTTTAACTAGAAGAGCTGCAGAGGTGCGGGCGGCGGCTGACGGAGGCGGCTTACGGGCGGCCGCTCCGGAGACTCAGGTGATGTGTGAATCCCGTGTTTACGCACGAATTTGACCAGTCCGTGCGAGGTGACGAGCCGCGCCGCTAACGACCGTTGTACCAGATATATACCTATCAACGGCGTTACGCTGTGTATATTTTTTCCGTTTTATCTTCAATATTTTATGTTGTGTGCAGCTTGTTCATGTTTCGAAGGACCAGCTCTGGAAGTGCCGTGCGGGCTCAGTGCCTTTGTTCCCTTTCAAGGGAAACAGTCATGCTGGCAACGAGTCAATTTTTGCCCAAATTGTGGATGTGGTTCAGCTTTTATTGCTGCCAAGTGACAGCAGTGCAGACTTGTTCGCTTGCCTTGTGCATGGACGCGTGCGTTCGGACGCTGTTGCACACCTGCGCACGTTAGCTAGTGGTCGTAGGCAGGGAAGTGACAGATTCGGTACCGTTCTGTGCCGACCGCTGCCGTTGGGCGCCTAGTCTAGTCGGGCCTCGATCGGTGGGGGCCCGTACCTGCCTTACCGGACGCGCCTGTCCGCGGCGGCCCGCCGGTGTGGTCTGTCCGTTCTCAGTGATTGTGGCGTCCCGGAGTTTCCTTTGGGAGAAGCCGACTGCGGGCCACTGACGTGTCGCCGTGTCGGTGACGAAATACAGTGTCTGTGTTATCGTAACTGGCTGCCTGGACTGGCCGTCGGTCGCGGTGTCGGCTCCAATGCGGCTCCTACTTCCGTTCAGAGTATGCGTTGGGCTCATCTGGCCTGCCCCATGGGATCTCAGTCATCAGACGGACGGCTCTCACCAGTGTTCTGTCCATCCGGCTGTCTCCGAGCCCGCCCCGCACCAGCGGAGACAACCGAGCAGTGTTCAGTTCGTGAGTACTCGTATTCACACGACACGGCCGGTAGAGACTCGCCGACCCCACCGGAGACATCTGGAGAGCGGTTATCACCACACACTGCCGGCGTGGCTCGGTCCCCGCTGCACGGCACGCGGCGGCAGGGTCAGCCGGCTATCGGCACCGGATCACCCCGCTGACCCGGGACATACGTGACTGAGGCAGCCGCCCGGACCCGACACCGTACCCCGGTGGTGTGTGTCTGGGGTGGGTCTGCCAGGTCGGGACCGGCCACCGCGACAGGGCGGGTAGGAGCGTCTCGCAGGTCACAGACCAAGCGCCGCGCGGCACATATTCTCTGTCCGATCACAGACAGGGTTCACAGAAAAATCAGCGTCGTTGCCATTAGGTAAGTAGCTTTCATCGAAAACAAGCAGCCATTCACGTTCAGCGGTGAACATCGGTTGACACACCAAACAGTACTATACGTAATAATTCTTTCCGACATTAGGTCGTACAAGCACAGAGCTCATCACAACTTCCATTGCACATCGGCTATAAAATGCCTCTCCACCGGTACATACCCAGACGGAGGGGCAGCACTGCACCAATTAGTAACAATATACACATCATCCCGACACATTATCTAAGGTCAATAAATAAAATCAGTTAATAGGCGGAAATGGAATGTTACAAACAAAACAACAGAGACAGACAATGCTTCCATCGAGATTCTAGAATCTATGTAGAGCTCCGTCAGTAGACAGCAAGACTGAGCTCACACACGCAAGATGTTTAAAGCAAAATCCCAATCATTTTGATTAGAGTTGCAAAGTTTTCCCAATGGGCTGCTACCGGCACCGCCCCGCCCCACAAACATTTTCTGGGATACCGGCATGCTACCACGCCCCAAGCAAAAAAAAAAAAAAAAAAAAACGCCAAATTACCGGCATACTAAAAAACCTGCATTCTTGATTCTGGCTTACCCCTACATGAGATGCCACATTTTGGCAATTTCAGTAACCGCCTCACCCAACAGCCACCCATTGTCCAACTTATTACAATTCAATAGCCTCTTAGTGTCCAAAGTTTGAATCATATGCTGATAATTTTTTTGTGCAAAATCAAATACCGGCATGCTACCGGCAAGACATGCCAGATACCACGAAAAAACCTGCAGTAGTGAAAAATTACCGGCATGCCGTAGTGCGGTAGGGAAATTTTGCAACTCTAATTTTGATGTTTAAACGTCAACAAACGACCGTTTGCCACAACCTATAAGCGGTTACCACCTCGACTTCTAATGGGGCACATGTCGTCTCAGACGCGCCGCAGCAGGCCGAGGTAATATATCTCGAATTTGGCATGTGCTCCGCGGCTTGCGTCCTGATGGTTTTGATTCGGCGGCTGACCTCACTCCTATGGCACCCGAGTTCCCCGGGCAGTAATTTGCCGGCCGTCACTGACTTCTGACTATAGAACGCCGACAATAGTGCGCCGCCCGCACAGCCGCGGCGCGCAGCCCTCGTCCTGCCGTCTGCCGGCCGGCAGCGCAGCCGGTCTGGGGCGTTCACCGCCGACAGACCCGGCACCCCTCCGAGACAGCCGTGTCCCGAGAGACGGCTGTCCTCTGACGTCTACCGGCGCGCTGTCCTCAGAGAGCGCGTCTCTGACCGGGCGGCGCCCTCCAACAGACCCGGCAGCCACCGACGGACGGAGCGCGTCACTTTGTGGACAGGGCGCCCATGGCGCGGATGAGCGCGTCATTCTCCTGCGCCAGCTGGTGTTTCTCCTGCCAGGATCTGGCCAGCTCGGCCTCGAGGGCGGCTATCCGCTGGTCGCGCTGCTGGAGCGCCTGCTGCAGCCGGTGGTTCTCCTCCTCCAACTGGGTAGGAGGGGGGGGGGGGACAACACGTCAGACACACTGGCACAGGGCGGAACGCCGTCCGCGTCCAGAACATCAAAGGTCCGCAACGGCATTACGTTTCACAGCATGCGAGAGGACCGAGAACGGTTAACCGGCGCAAAACTGTCATCAGTTCCCAAACACTGACCGGTCGGAGGGCGGCTGGGCACCGACTACTGACCTGTCGGAGGGCTTCATGGTACTGACTAGTCACTACTGACCTGTCGGAGGGCGGCTGGGTACTGACTACTGACCTGTCGGAGGGCTTCATGGTACTGACTAGTCACTACTGACCTGTCGGAGGGCGGCTGGGTACTGACTACTGACCTGTCGGAGGGCTTCATGGTACTGACTAGTCACTACTGACCTGTCGGAGGGCGGCTGGGTACTGACTACTGACCTGTCGGAGGGCGGCTGGGCACTGAACTACTGACCTGTCGGAGGGCGGCTGGGTACTGACTACTGACCTGTCGGAGGGCGGCTGGGTACTGACTACTGACCTGTCGGAGGGCTTCATGGTACTGACTAGTCACTACTGACCTGTCGGAGGGCGGCTGGGTACTGACTACTGACCTGTCGGAGGGCGGCTGGGCACTGAACTACTGACCTGTCGGAGGGCGGCTGGGTACTGACTACTGACCTGTCGGAGGGCGGCTGGGCACTGACTACTGACCTGTCGGAGGGCGGCGGCCGAGGGGTGACCGTTGGCGCGCAGCTTCTGGGCGCCAACCGCCGGCCGGCCGGGCGACTCCGTCTCCTGGTTCTCCTCGTCATCCGCGTCCAGATCCGACTGACTGCAGAGTGCAGGGGGAGGCGAGGGGCGTCAGGAACGGCATGTAACAGTCATCAGCGTCCAGATCCGACTGACTGGAGGGGAGGGAGAGGGGCGTCAGGAACGGCATGTAACAGAGTCATCCGCGTCCAGATCCGACTGACTGGAGGGGAGGCGAGGGGGCGTCAGCAACTATGTGGCTGGTCACCGAGGGGCACTGGTCAATCGGGTCTGGGTCCAGCCTCGGCAGCGACCGGCACCGAAAGGCAGTCCCGCATTTGAACCCAGCGCCCGACCCGACGCCTATCTGGAGACTGAGGTCACTCCGCCCCTGGGACTCTGCTGCACACTGCCGACTGCGGCCGTACCTTTTATTTCGGAGCTGCGGCTTCTGAAAGGCTCTGGAGGGCGGCTCGGCGGCCAGTCCGACGCACGGGTCGGTGAACTCGTTCTGCTGCGTGTTGCGGTACGTCTCTGCGCTCAGCGAGGTCTGCGCCGGCAGCTCCTCGTCCGCCTCGTTCGTGCTGCCACCTGTCGACTGCAATAAGAGGCTTTAGTCCGCGCCGCCAGCCGCCCGGCGCGTGCCAGACTGGCCGCCCGCCGCGAAGGAATACTGCCACCGGCAGACCGCACAGATTCCAGTGCGATAACATAAAAACGTGACCTTTACGATGCGCGGCTGTTGTCGAGCCACACAGGCCGCGGCGGTCACCGCACTGCGGCGGCAGCAGCGGCGGGAGTGATGTAACCTTCGCGCAGCACACCGAGCCGACTGAAAGATCAGTGCGACTTAAAGCCGTCAGCATACTAAGTGTATCGGCGTGGGCCCCAGAGCAGAGGCCCCAAATGTGACTCAGCGCCAGTCGTAGCGTCCCTATCTGAATAGAAAACAGTGATCAACTTTGGCATTACCTTCCACGATACGTAAACAACGATTTTGAATATCAACGGACTAGACAACAGCTATCATGATGTCGGGCTCCGCCTCCGCCCACTCTACCTGGGCGACCCCCTGCCGCCGGGGCGAGGCGCGGCCCACTCACACTGACTTCTGTGGAGGGCATGTGCTGGACGCCGGTGCTGCGGCGCTTCTCGCGCAGCTTCCGTCGGTCCCGCTGCTGCTTCCCCTTGTTGACATGGCCCGGCCTGATGATCAGAGATACCACACCGGTCAGAAGGGGTTATAACCTGGCCTGAGGAACAGAGGGACACCACATCAGTCAGGAGGGGGGGGGGGGTCAAAGAGGGACAACACACCATACCACCACAGGGGTATGGCCCGGCCTGTGGAGAGAGATGCCGCCCCGGCCAGGTGGGGTTAGCGACGGCTAGAGAAATCAGAGAGGTGTCAGTGACCGTCAGAAATAGTTCGGCTCTAGTTCGCTAGCGTTCTTGTTTAACAACAGTAACGGATGCCGTTGCTGCCGATAAATGTTATGAACAATGAGACTGGTGGTGATCACAATAGGTTCCGCCTCTGATCACTGATGCGACTTCAAAGTCCGAAAATAGAGCTTCTGTTTGAAAAGATGTCTCTGTTTTGGATGCTTCAAAAGAACGCCAGGTTTGTGTGGCAGCGTTCGGCCAGTTTCAAACGCAGTGGGGGTCGGCGCTGACCAAAACACCCGGCGCCGTGCCGGCCCCATAATCGACAGTTTACGGAGCCAGCCGACCGGGGAGAGCCACAAGCACAGACTGGGTGGCGATCAGACGGAGTCACAGACACAGACTGAGTGGCGGTCAGACGGAGCCACAGACACAGACTGAGTGGCGGTCAGACGGAGCCACAGACACAGACTGAGTGGCGGTCAGACGGAGCCACAGACACAGACTGAGTGGCGGTCAGACGGAGCCACAGACACAGACTGAGTGGCGGTCACACAGAGCCATAAACACAGACTGAGTGGTGGTCAGACGGAGCCAGCTCCGTCCCAGTGACTCGGCCTGACAGACATCACCAGTCACCAACCAGCCGGGCCCGGCCGGGCGGTCCGTGCACACTGCACAGTCCCTCCCCCTCCCCCACCGGTGGCCCCCGCGATCGCGTGCGATCAGGCGGCCGCCGAGCCTTCCCAAACGCGGCTCCGCGGCCGGCGCGGCCGCCGTCCGCCGTCTGAGCGGCAGCCGTGGGCCGCTACATGCTACCGGAAGGAGTGCGCCCGCGCAGACTGGTAGAAAACAAGGTGCCTCCGCGCATTGATATAACAGACTGAACTGAGATTGAACTTTTTTTTATAAATTTAGTCCGAACCTTTTGATAGGAAGGATTCACAAGGACAGAGCCACCGCTAAGCGAAGCTTGTTGCGGTGACCCTGCCCTCTACCCTCCGATCGCGCAATTCCAGTTCTATGGCAGAATTTAGAGTCCAAAGTTTTAACGTGCGCACATAGCCGCGCACGGCCGGTCCCCTCACTGACTTCGCCTGGCTACGGCCTGCCACCAACCGCAACCATACCTGTCAGGAGGCCCATAAATATCGAGCGCCCGTCGCGCTTCGAACCCGGACTGTTATAACCGGGAACGCGTGCTCTCACCACGCGGAGTCCAACGCTCTACCAACTGAGCTACGGGACCGGCAACTGAACAACTGAACTGAACAGTTGACCACGGTGATGTAAAATGAGAGACTCAAACTTAACTAATCAGCCAAATTTTGAGCATAACCCTCAAAACCCCTAAGCACTACGCATTACGTTCATAAATCAAGCGCGGCGATAGTACAAAAAGTACATCCACGACGCATCCCAGGTCGGTGAGGCTACGGACCACCGCGCGCCGATGGCCGGGACCCACCTGGCTGGCCGCTTATCCTTGGCGCGCGCCGACGGCTTGGGACTGGCGTCGTGGTCTCCCGAGTAGCCGGAGACGTCGAGCGGTCGACCGGCCGCCTCTGCTCCGTCCTCCTGCTCGGCCACCGCCTCAGCTGGGCAGAGCGGGGAGCGGGGTGAGAGCGGAGCACGACTGTCACACAGTCACACAGCGACGAACGGAAGGCAGAAAACTGTCTGCAGTGCTGCAGTGGGCTGCCGTTTGGGGCGATCGAGTCAGCGGCGTGTCGTGACGAGGCTGGGTCAGAGATCGTGTGACAGCCACGGTGCCGCAGGCAGGTTCTGACGGTGCGAGAGAACCGTGAGAGCTGCGGCAGACCGGCTGCCGGCCAGCCGTGTGGCGGGACGAGGGACGATCGGAGTGATTCCAGTGAATAATAAACGGTTGGTTACAAGCGTCACCTCGGTCTGCGGTTGGTATCAGCCACCACCGCGCCGGCCCCGGCGTGCCGAGGCGAGATCTGACGTAAGAACGATCACCGACAGGCAGTTTAAACAAAAAAGGAGGCATCCCGCTGGGGTCATCAGGCCCGTGTCCGACATACCTATGGCCGCCTAAAAAGGTAATTATCTGAGCGCCAGCGGGCGGGAGACAAAGGGCAGACGCTGCGGCTCCGGGACCTCACTTGGGGTACACTCCTTCACCCGGGAATGGCATGCGTTTTACAGTGTTCCTCGATTTAAACATGTGTCAGACGTCAGTCGAAGCTGCAACCAAAATAACCACGCCATTGATAACACACGGGACTGAAAACAAAAGAAAATCAACAGCAATAAGGAAATAAATTATAAGTAACACAACTTGAGCACAAAACACCTGTAAAAAGACAAGGAGCATATGTTTTCATCGAGACTAGCGAGGGAGCCCAGCATTTTCAGGGAAAGGAGCCGGACGGAACCCGGCTGGCATTTAGTTACCCGTCGTCGAGTGACGGGACACCTCAGACACCCCTGCCCGCCGCGGGAGGATTCCCGGTACCGGCCGGTGAACCGGAGCCAGGTGTGGTGGGGGGCTCTGGCGCGCGGCGCGAGCTCCACATTCCGAGCTCAGCATTCCGGCGCCAGTAACAGAGCGCCCGGCGTGCTCGGGCCGGAAACTGGCCGGCCCAGTCCGTGTCAACACAGCACATAGCGGCGCGCCTGGGATCCGACCGCAAACGTGCAGCCTCGACACATAGCGGCGGCATAGCAGCCTTCAGTCGTCATTACCGACACATAGCGCCGTGAGTGGGGCACCACCTCTGTTCTCTATCTATTAAGAGGCATGAGCGGAGTGCCACGGGGTACCTTAGTACCACCCACACATAACGACGTGAGCGGGGTACCGCGTCTAGCCCTTAGTACCGATACATAGCGGCGTCAGCGGGGCACATCATCTGGCCCTTATTATCGACACGACAATCCCATGCTGCGCTCGTGGTACCGCTGTGCTGTAACAGTATCGGCACGCAGGCCGCAGCACATGTCACGGATGCGCTGTTCAGTCACTAACCACATGCTACAGCTGAGCCATCAGCTGCCGGTGAGGTACTGTATGTACAGCGCGCTATAACACAGCACGCTGGAAACGCGACCCGTGTCGCCCGGCCGAGTGTTTCCGCCGCGGGACACGACGGGGGCATGCAACACCTGCCATCAGCGCTGGACGGTCCACAGAAGCGTGCAGCGATTCCGGAAATGAATACCCGGCCCGCCTCACAAACAACATCGCATGACCGCCCGGCATGCATGCGGTAATGTAACGAGAACGGACAGAAGAAACAGCCGAAATGCAGGGGGATAGAGGTGAGGTGGGAGAGGGGGCGAGGAAATGGGAAAATGTCTAATGAACTCACCAAGATGGTCATTTAAGCAAGTGCCGTGGTTAGATTCAGTTCAACAGTTGTGTTTTCCCTTCTGAGTTTGAAATAAACATCGTCTGATATTATAAGTTCAAGGTCTTATTTACGCTTTCCAAATGTAAGTGAGTTGACCATCGATTATTCCAAGCGGCCTTCAGTGTTCTACAGGCATTTGCGTTTCGAGCAAAAGGTGACCACACAAAGCAGGCTCGGCCACCGGTCAGAGGGGCTGTAGGACCGTGAGGGGGGAGGGAAACGGCGGCCACCGGTCTGAGGGACTGTAGGAAATGAGACCTGTGAGGGGACGCAGCGGGCGCTGTCAGAGGGAGTGTCCGGAGATGGACCGTGAGGGGACGCAGCGGGCGCCGGTCAGGGGCCGTCGGCAGTGGGACTGGGGCACCATCGGCAATGGGACCGGGGTTGTGAGGGGACGCAGCGGGCGCTCGCAGAACGGACCCCGGCCTGGATACATACCGACCCAGCCGACCTTCCGCAGAACGGCAGCTCATTTGTCATACTTATCAGCTATCTGCCCTAACGAAATGAGCCGACAACCATCTCTCGGTCCCGCAGTCCATCAGTATTCATACCGCATGACTTGGCGATTTTAGAACGGCATCACCGCCATTCCGGATCACTATTGGTACACGTGGACAGCCTGCGCCTCCGGAGCAAGGCCGCAGCATCCAACAAAAACGACGAATGTTCAGCAAATCATGTCAAGATTGTGTGCCGAACATTCATAGAATAGTTATAGCAGGCCGCTCAGAGCCTAACGTGACACGACCGACCGTTCAATATTGAACTGCGAATTGTTATAAAATTACAAGCTATCCGTTCAAATTTTAAAATGGACGATTAAGTTTAAAACTAAATGATGAATTATTATAAATGCATTTCACGGTAACGTGATTTAGGATTCAGGATGCAGGACAAACGGTAAATATTTTAGTCCGCATATATCTACACAAGCACGACCTTCCACGATCCAAATAAGCTCTTCGCACCTCCCAGATTACTCTGGAGGAGGCAGGAGGTTGCATGAGCGCTAAGCTTACAGGGAAACTAGCATGCCATATTTATCAACCAAATGAAATAAAATCGCAGTACGGATCACCAAGTATAATGACGCATCGGAGAGGCTCACTGAATTCATTGCCGATGGGCGGCACTTTGAGTCATACAGCCCACTGTATCACTGTTCGCGGGTTTCTGGCAGAGAAACAGGCAACAGCTCACCGCCAGCCCGGCAGGGAGACACCTCACAGCTCACACTTACCTCACACCCGCTCACTCACTCTCGCCTGCTCACCCACCGCCGTGCACTGGCACCGGCCGACCATCACTCACCGGCTCGAGCGTGTGCGGTAGCCGCCGCGCGGGCCGGCCGCCGCTCCATCACTCCCCAGTCGGCCCGCCGTGCTGCCCCGGCCACTCACCGAGCTTACAGGCGGCGGCGGCGGCGGCGGCGGCCGGCTGGTGGCCGCGCACGTCCCGGCCCCGAGCCATCCGGATCCGCGAGCGGCGCGACGACTTCTCGAACTCGTTCTCGGCGTCCTCCTGACTGACTGAGCTGGAGGCCATGGTGGCCGACGACATGGGCACGGCGGCACGGCGGCGGCCCGCCCGACGGTGACGTCACACCGCGCACCTGGGGACGGCGGCGGCCAGTCAGAGACGCGGGTGGAGCCGGGGGGGGGGGGGGGGTACTCGCCGGGGTACACTGACCGGGGGACACTGGGCCGGGGGGGGGGGCTGCACTGACCGAGGAACACTAGCCAGGGAACACTGGCCGGGGGTGTGGAGCGCGCCGCAGCCGGGGGGGGGGGGGGCACAGGGAGCGGCAGTGAGTGTGACCCGCCCGCGGACGGGCCGTGGGACCGCCGCGCCGGCCGCCCCGTCTGACGCACCGGCCCCGGTCGCCGCCTTTTCCGGCGGTGCGGCGGTCGACAGTTTTGGGCCGGTGCACGGCGGCAGGGCGGCGCTGACCGCACGCAGCAGCTGTGTGACCGCGAGATTGAGAGGGCACGGGATACAGCCCACCACACGGGCCACAGACAGAACATGCCACAGATAGGACAACACCGGAACAGTCACAGGCAGCCCATCCGGCCCGGGTGGGCTGTGGGCTAGAGGCCCGCCCTCCGCCCGTGGTAAGTCACCCAGTGCACTGGCCATGGCAGGCTATACCTTCGAACACTGTCACAGCACACCTCACTGTGTTGGCCCATCCGTCCCATCGTCTGTCCCATCGTCTGGACGGCCAACCCCGGGACGGGACGGGACGGGACGGGACGGGACGGGACGGGGGGGGGGGGGGGCAGCGGACCGAGCCACCCTCCGCAACGACAACACATTCCCTTTGCAACCAGCTCGGAATACCGAGCGACACACAGATTCGCATCGGGGCGGTTGACTGAAACGGATTAAAATTCTCCGCCCGACACACGACAGGTCGCCAGTGGAGAGCCAGTTAGGAACTGAGTGCCGGCCGCGGTGTTAGCAAAGCACCGGGCATTGTTACCATGGAGGATGGGTGGGGCGACCGCCGACCGGCGCCGTGCGCTGTTCCATGGCTTCAGCGCTGACAAGTGACAAGGCGTTCCGGTCCACCAATGAATGAACGGAGTACGCAGCCTGTCAAACTGAGCCGGACCCTGGGTGATCACCGAACGGTGACGTCAGCACGTCACCGATCACCGATGTGAAGTTAGAACATCACCGATCGCCGGTATAACGTCAGCACATCACAATTCACCGATGTGAAGTCAGTATACGTCACCGATCACCGGCCTATGACGTCGGCACATTACCGATCACTGCTGTGTCGTCAATACGTCACCTATAACCGGCATGACGTCGGCACGTCACCGATCACCGGTCTGTGTCGTCAGCGCGTCACTTTCCACGGCGCGGTTGTTGCACAAAAGCCGCCCACAAAGACATTCCATTCGTGTTGGTCGGTCGGCCGGCAGCCAGGCGCGGCGGAGGGGAGGAGCGGGCGGCCACCGTGCCGCCCCGGCCGACCGTCTGCCGCCCCTGGTTCTCCTCCTGCTGCCATGCAGCTCGATCAAACACGGACCGGAGCTAAACGCGGGCGGCGGAAAACCCCACTCACCGTCCGCATTCCATCCGCCGACCCGACAGCGTGCAATAAATATAAACATCACAACTGAATATTCCATCCATCATACACTCGTGCCGTCCGTCAGTTCAATCATGTGACGGATACCGCCAGTTTTGCATAATGGTTCCTATGGCACACGAATGCTAAGGACGTGCTGCCGGCCCCTCACTGCGTGCTCCCGCTCCCGGATCACTCGACAGAGCGGTGCGCCAAACGCACCCCCCCCCCCCGACCTTCGTCATGCAGCGCGGTACTCCGCCCGATCCATGATGTGCCAGCGCCGGTGATTGATCGGCCGCCAGTGTACCGCCGCTCCGGCAGACACTCTGTTCACTCCGGACCAAACAGCGCGCGCAGCCTGTGTGACAGATCTCATCCGCTGGCTTTTAACCCGCGCCCTGCTGGGGGGGGGGGGGGTGTTTGAACACCCCTCCTTGTGGTTTTTTGCAAATATCTCAAAAACGGCGGCACGGAGCGCCGCCGTTTTTGGTACACCTTATCATACATCAATTCTACACATGATGTGAAAATTTCAGACCAAGGTCATTCAAGGTCAGGTCACCAGGTCACTTGAAGTGACCTCACCCCATAAAAAGTTTCAATGTCTGTCATAGCTACACCGAGTGACCGATCGCTTTGAAACTTTCAGCGATTGCTAAGAGCAATAGTATGTACAAAATGTATATCTCAGAATTTTGATATCGATGACCTAAGGTCAGGTCAATTTTGCGACCTCCCCATTATAAGTCAATGGGAGAAAATTGAAATGCGCCTCTTTTGGACGAAAGACATTATAAACACTCCCAAACACCGAATTACAAGTGATTTAGACACACTGAACATGAAAATGGTGTCCGTGACCCTTGTTTATGCCCTGAGGTCATCTTAGGTCACGAATGGTATCTAACAGTTTTTCGCAAATAACTTTTGATAGAGGCATGCTAGAGCGATGAAAACGCCTTATATGTGTTCAGCTCGACGATACGGATCGACTGATATGCAACATGACCCTTTCCGGTCAGGTCATGACCTTGACCTGAGGTCAAATTTTCAAGTTGACCTTTCAAGGTCAAGTTATAGTTCATTCGATGCGTCTTGACGAGAGGAACACGATGCCGGTAAAAGTAAGCTCGTACAAGGCTTGGGTCAAAAGTTATTGCAGAAAAACTTTCCGAAAAAATCGGCTATTTTTGCAGTTTTTGCCCCCTGCAGGCAAAACCGTTGAAGTTAGGTCAAATCTGAGCGAATTACTCAGAAAGGGCGTTAATAGGGCTATCGAATGCGCTTTTCCGCGGCGCTGTAGCTCTATTGGTTCCCGAGTTATGTGTTGGCTTCTTGGAAATTTTCGACATTCGACCTGGAAATCGGCGAAATTTTGCCTTCAATGACCTCTGGTGACCTGACCTTTGACCTGACCAAAATATTGACTGAAGTGATTTCGTCATCATTTTTGACGCTCTTTCGAACGCCGCCTTCCGCGTATCGCTACGTGGCTCAGGAGCCGAGTTACAAGGGGGGGGGGTGTTCAACCCCCCCCCCCCAGCAGGGCGTGGAAATCCAGGACCCCCAGCCGGGCGCGGGTTAAGCACTCGCTGAACCGTCTAACAATAGACCGGTGGGGAAACAGACAATGACAGGTGACCTTACGGAGAATGCGCCAGGTGAAACAGACCTCAGAAGTGCTACATTTCCGAGGCCCGTCTTGGCGCCTGTTTAAAACCCAAACAGGCAAATGGGATCTACTTTTGGATCCACCTCACACCCCTGCCGGTCGGATGGCAGCAAAGTCCGGGTTCACTCCGCCGGGTCCAGTCGGGCCTCCTGCCCCGGTCGAGTCGCTCCCCCCGCCCGGACGGGTGGACGGACGGTAGGTCGCCGGGTCGGTCCGACGGGCCCCTCCGAGCCACCACAAAGCAGCCGGCCGCGCCGCCAAGGCCGCGCGGCCGCTCCGGATACGGCGCGATCGCGGCACAATCGCCGCTGCCATCGGCGGCGACGGCGTCGTGCTGCCGAGTGCCGACCAGCGCCGGGCGACCGGGTCGACCAGGTGACCACCCGGCCCGGACTTCCCGACAGGTCAGCGGACAGCCCGAAGGCGTCAGCCGGAGACACGCCCAGCGCTCCCTCACACCCTCCGGTAGGAGCGCCACACCCTCGGCCGTTCCGGGCGGTCCGAGCAGCACCCCGCCCCGAGCGGCACTGGTCATCAGGTGTGTGCCGGGACTCCGGAGGAGCTGAGTGCCAGCGCGCCCGCCCCGGGGCGCCGCGGACAGCGCCCGTCCGTCTCCGGTGTTCCCCGGTCCGCCGCCGGAGCGCGCGGCGTGTGTCCCAGCTCGGCCGGAGCGGCCCACCGGCCGGCGGTTTTCCGAGTTCTCGTCGGACCGGCCGCCGGCGCCGCACCAAATGCGGCGGCCGCGCGCCCGAACGGGCGGCCGCGCTCGGCGGCAGCCTCCGCGGCACGCGGCTCTGAGTGGCTCCCGACCGGCCGCTAACGAACCAGATACGCCGCGAAGGATGGGACGACTCCGCGATATTAGCAGCGGCGAGCGTCCACTCTGGTCAGCGACGGCGGACCGAGGTCACGGACAGTGTCCCAAAATTGAGTTTTGTCTTAGGTGTCAGAGGGGAAAATTACCCACCAAAAAGAGGGGAGAGAGTGGAAAACTGCTGATTCGATTAGATCCAAAAGGAGTGAGAAATGACAAAAAGCATGCATTTTATTCTAGGGTGTAGAATGTTTGATGCTAACTGGGCATCCACACAACTGTCTTTCTATAGGTAAAAAATCTAAGTTTTCTTGGTTGGGACCTGGGAGTGGAAAATTGTTCTTAAAAATGGTGGTGAGAGTGGAAAATGAATTTCATTTGGATGCCGTTTCCCACCCAAATAGACAAATTTTGGGACATTGGTCACGGATCATAGCAGGACCATGTATGGGCGCCACTAATCCATGGTGCGACAGCGGACAGGACTGGGCGATAGTACGAGCACACATCATCCACTGTGAATGAACGGAACGTGTTGAGCACGCATGGTATATGTTGGAGGTGAGAACAAGCAAACAAATAATTAAATTTGGAACATACATCAATATCCACTGAAAAAGATTCGCTTTTTAATCTAAATGAGCGTTTACATACTCCTTTTGCGCAAAGCTATCGATCAGGTGCGGCGCACTGTTCCTCAGAGCAGTACAAATACGGTCACAGGTGACACGAAGGCACGCCATTCTGACATGTCCATGGCATCACCACACCTGCTGCGCTCACATCGGAAACCGTCGGTAAGCCTTATCACCACGTCAAAGCCACCGGGTCACTCATTCTCCACCGAGCGTTCCCCGCCTGCGCCCGGACCGGACGGTGGCCGGGCCCCATCCGCCCCCTCCCGGGCACAGCACAACACCGCAGTGCCCGCTGCCATGGGCCTGCTATCCGGGTCATTGGCGATGCAATGAGATGCGCGGCGCGTGTCGCGGGGGGACGCCGAGCCCCCCCCCCTCAGGTGGAGACCGGGCCGGGGCACGACGCCGGCGGCCCTGGCCCGCTGGACCAGTGCGGTGGCGACGCGCCCGTGGGCGCTGCATGCATTGCAGAGTGAGGCCATATGGTACGGGGGCCGAAGGAAACGGCGCCGGCCCACCGATTACTCACACCGAGGTGCGAGACTAAACAGTACAGAACGCAGAGGGGCACTTACATCGGAGCATGCTACATATGTGGCGTTCAATGTGCAAGTAACACAAACGGATCTACAATGCATGCCTTCAAGAGGCCAAATGTAATAAAAGTTTGTTTAAAAGAGAATTCCTCTAGTCTTATATCTCCTGGAAAAATCTCTAAGAGAGCAACAGCTCCGTAAAATGTCAACCAATACAATTGGTTTGCAATAAGCCTTAGTGAAAACAAATGAATGCCCAGTTCTTCACCCTTCATCATGCCAATTAGTGTCGCCCCACAACACCTGAAACATCTTAACCCTATTACTGGTGGGCTCTCTGGACTACGTTAACTGGTGGGGGTGGGGGGTGCGATTCGGCCCCCTTTATATCTCAAAAACTAAACGTCCGATCTTGATGGGACAAACGCCATTCGATTGCTTTTATCGTGGACTTTCAGACTGACTGTAAAAAAGGAAAAAAGTTCAAAATTGGCGGTCCTGGAAGCATACATGTTCGAAAAAATGCGTTTTGCACCTCAGCACTAAAAATGCTATGACTTCTTTCTTTTTTGACCGATATTTATGAAACTTTAGGGGACCCTTCTTCCTGAACTGGGACTTCATTTATACTCCAGTATTTTGGGTATTTGAAAAAAAACATAGGCGGATTCAGGCAAGCTAACTTGGGATGATGTTTTGAGCTTTTGTCATGGCATGTCATGTGTCTTATGACATGATGTGTCATATATCATGTAGAGCAAGATACACGTTTTCATGCAGCAAAGGTGGATTCAGGCAAGCTAAGACGGGGGGCAGTACATCAATATCTCCCTGTCTCAGGTACGTGGATCTGCCTATTCCAGTACTTTTATTGTAAAATGACGTCACAGTCTATAGGTGCATACATATGACGGGTGGTGCCACTGATCAACAGAGCAAACCTAAGTAAATCGCTGCTTAGCGGAAAATGTCGCGTAACAGTCAAATCTGGGCCAAAACTACCCCCGACTCCCGAGAAACTCGTCCTGGAGACACCTCTGCGCAAGCTAGAAACTAAACAATTTAACAGAATGTGCCCAATGAATAGCAAGAAAAAGTCACCAAATTTTGAGCCCCTAGCTTAAGTGGTTTTCTGTCGAGAGGAAAAAAACTACAGGTGGGGCCAAATCCCCCCCGCCCCCCAGTAGTAGGGTTAATTGTGCCTGGCACTGTCTTTGCAAGAGAGCATGTTGCAAAAAAAAAAATGAACAAAAATATCTCAGATCACTTCTGGTTAAGTGCTGCCTTTTATCAATGTAGAATAGAATAGTGGTTACAGATTTTTTTTAGGACGGTCAACAAAGGACCTGTAGGAAATTCGGTCATTTGCTTCTCCCATACTCCAACCATGTAGCTTTCAGCTCATCCTGGCACCACATGCTTAATCAGTTCGCAGGGTATACTTCCTGTTCACCCACAGCTTGTCGAGACGGTTCTTGAATGTGTTCAAGACCTATCTGACCTATCTGCTCTATAGACTCTATAGACCTATCTGCTCTTCGTCCGACTCGGCATCCCTGCAGGAGGACCTGGACGCGGCACTTCACTGGGCAGACAGGTGGCAGCTGGCATTCAACCCTGGAAAGTGCAAGGTGCTCCACATCGGCGGAGGCAACCAGCACTACACATACCGGATGGGGGGAACTACAGTCGCGGAGTCGGATGTCGAGAGAGACCTTGGCGTCCTCATGGATACCCAGCTCAAATTCCGGAAGCAGGCTGCTGCGGCCGTAAGGAAGGCAACACAAGTGATGGCAGTGATCCGTCGGTCCTTCCACCTTCGACAAATCAACCCTCCCCCTGCTCCTCAAGGCCCTTGTCCGACCCCACCTTGAGTACGGGAACCTAGTGTGGGGTCCCTTCAACCGGGCGGACCAGCGGCTGGTAGAGCGGGTGCAGAGGCGGGCGACCAAGCTGGTTCCCGATCTTCGACACCTCCCGTATCGAGAGCTTCTGAAAGTGCTGCAGCTACCAACGCTGTACTACAGACGGAGGCGTGGAGATATGATCGCGGTTTATCAGCTGCTCCGCGGTGGACTTGACATGGACCCTCGCAACTTCTTCGAGATGGCAGCCGACAGAACTCCTGCTACAAGAGGACACCAATGGAGACTAGCCAAGCCGCGAGCGGTCTCCAGGATTCGGCGCAACGCGTTCTCCATCCGGGTCATCAACGACTGGAACAGCCTACCGTCAGTGGTCGTCGCATCCGACACCCTGAACCAATTCAAAAACCGGCTTGACGCTCACTGGGCACACCATGCACACGACATCCCTCACGCAGATGAATAGTCAGACGCACGAGGAGCTCGACTAGAAAGGTTTCTAAAGGCCTAGTCTGGCCTATCCAAATTCTGTACTTCGTAAGTAAGTAAGTAAGTAAGTTCAAGCTTGGTGCCGCAACGACGTCTGCAGGGAGACTGTTCCAGCTGTCCACTATGCGATGACAGAAAGAGGTCTGGCGAAGATGGGAGTTCACTCGTCTCTTCTTCAGTTTCAGATGGTGACCACGCGTTCGATCTGAGGTGTCGAGCTGCAGAAGGTCGGCTACTTTCACTCTCAGGCATCCTGTCAGAATCTGGTACGCCATTATCATATCTCCTCTCATCCTTCTATAGTACATGGAGGGGAGGTCCAAGGCTCAAAGTCGATCCTGGTACTGAAGGTGACGCAATGGACGAACCAGCTTAGTTGCTCTTCTTTGGACCCTCTCAATGGCATCCTGGTCCGCTCTGAATGTAGGTCCCCACACCACATTTGCATACTCAAGGTGAGGACGCACCAGAGTCCGGTAGAGGAGAGGCAGAGAATGACTGTTTAGGGCTTTGAAAGCCCTCTTCACCAGTCCAAGAGCTCTGTTCGCACGACCCACGGCAGCCGCCACCTGTTCATGGAACTTGAGGTCTTCATCAATGACGAGTCCAAGGTCCTTCTCCATACAGTGTCCCAAAATATTTCGATTTGGGTGGGAAACGACATCCAGATAAAAATCATTTTGCACTCTCATCTGTAATATCTAAGAGCAATTTTCCACTCCCAGCTTTACTGAGAATAAGCATCTGCATTGGTCATTTTACATATTAGGTACATTTTACCTCATTATATAGAAATGTATGCCATTGATCTCTTTTCCACTCATTTTGGGCCATATCTGACTGGGTAATTTTCCACTCTTATCCCCCTTTTTGGAGAGGAATTTTGCCTCTGACACCCAAACCAAAACACAATTTTGGGACACTGTCTCCATATGCACCTGAGCTAGAGTCGAACCGTTCATCAGGTAGCTGAAGTGCTCGTTAAAGGACCCTAGGTGCATCAGCTTACACTTATCTTGGTTAAAGGGGAGCTGCCACCTGTCTGCCCAGCGTCCCAGGGCATCAATGTCCTGCTGCATGAGAGCCTTGTCCTGAAGGGTGGTCACTTCTCAGAATAAATGAGTTATTAGAAACTGGTAAGGGCAAATCCAGCTTCCTAGGACATGGAGGTTTGCAGACGTTATTTAACGAGGCATGGGTGGAGAACCTGCCCCGGCCACCCCGGCCGTGGCCGGGGTAACTTTCAGCCGACCCCGGCGCGGCCGGGGTAACTTTTTCCACTTTTGTAATTCCTAAAAGCTGTCTCCATACGAAAAAAAACTGCCATCTATAAAAATGTCTCATTATTCTTATCTACCTTGAAAAGTTCTTGAAAATTTACTTTATTTTCATTTTGGAGCTTCTATGTTTTTATGTCTTTTCATCCATGTTTCATTAAACAGAAGTACCTAAATCATATTTAAGTGCCGTTATCGTAAGATGGCACTGTAATAACATCAAAAGACAGGACGAGGGTGATATCAGTGAGATAGAAGGACGAGCTGCTGGGGCTCAAGGCTCCCCCAACTTAACCCGCGCCAGGGTGTTGGCCTTATCGTAACACGTTGAGTCGAGAGGTGGGCTTTTCACGCTCCTTCTAACTCGGCTACTGGGCTACGAGGCGAGAAGCGGAACGACGTTTGAAAGAGAGACAAACGTGATCTGAGAAATCTGGTCATGTTTTATGCAAGCTCAATAATAAAATCACCATAGATCATCAAAAGCCAAATTTCTCTGATTTTACCGTTCTCCGACAACTTTTCTCACAGTTCATGAACATAACGGAGCTTAAACACTGCAAAGAAAACATTCGATTACTCGTTTAAGGCTCGGTCGCGAATAATATTTCAGGTGCGAGCTCAAATCAATAAGAGGGTCAAAACGGTCAAATTTGACATTTTGTTTTGTGTGGGAGGGTTGCAACTTCCACGGAACAAGCTTTGCAAAGGGCATGATGGCATTTTTAGCACGATCATCCAGCAAATTTGACCTGATGACCTGACCTAGCACTAGGTGACATGCGTCCGAAATTTTAAGGCGTGTTGCAAAATTGTTGTTACAATTACGAAATCTTCCGCACCTGCGTGCAGCAGTTTTCCCTAAAAACGTACAAACGGCAGACATCCATTATTCTATGCCACAGAATAGGGGTTTGTTGATAACCGTTGACAAATATTTGAGCATCATCGTCTTTCTGACTTTCGGTCGTCGGCCGGGGTAACTTTTTCAAACATTCTCCACCCGTGTAACGAGGTATAACTCGAAATCCTTACCTTTTCGATAACTTCTATCTATGATCTGATAAATGGACTCACTTGTATGCAAGTACTGAACAACTTAAATAGCTTATCTTGATTTAATACCGCTAATTGCCGCCTCTCACACCACAAAAAAAAGAAACCAAAATACACCATTCACCCCAACGTCAACTGCCCGAATGGAAATGTGTTCAAGGCCTTCGATTTGTGTGTTCAAGGCGCCGTGCGTATGTTCGATATGCTGTTCGTTTGCAGAAGGAAAATCGTTTTTTCTCAGAACAAATGAAAATATCCCACAGCACGACAATTTTTTTCAGCGGGTAAATACGTATATAAACGTATTTGAATTTGAAGCTAAGTATATAAACGTATATATAAGGATATAAAAGTATATAAACGTAAGTTATGTAATACTTTCTCTAGAAATACGGCAGCATCTAAAATGGTGCTTCACACACTGGGCATAAGTGGCGCACAAATTACAAAATTGAATTGTCAGTCAACTGTCAAGTCCACGTGTGTGCCTGTCCGCTTGCCTGTCCGGAGGGATATGAAATTATACGTTGTTGTGTTTGCAAGTAATTGCTGAATTCCGGTACATACACACTAACCAAGATGGTCAGAAAGAAAATAGATAATCGCATACGCATCCTGATTGAAAATGGAGTTGCATCGGGACATAGAACAATGTTTGTTGTTGTGGGAGACAAGGGACGAGATCAGGTAAGTTTTGTATAAAGTATGGAGCATTTTGTGTGTTTGAATCCCTGAGTGCTCCACGAGTCTGCAGCCAGGGCCCTGTTTCACCGGTGATAGCAGCACGCTGCCATCAAATTGCGCGATCTGACGGATTGTGATAATGTCATACTAATGATGTTTTGTGTAATCTATGAGCTTTTTCATAGCTGCGTTTGGAACATAGTTGCTGTCTCGTTGAATGCGTTTGATACATTTGTTTGATTGCACGGCCGTGAAGATGTTGGCAGCAATATTTGATGACCTCACACAGATTGACGATCACGATGTCATGGTTTGTTGATGTTTCCATGGAAACCCAATTTGACACGTGTAATAGCAGCATGCTGCTATCACCGGTGAAACAGAGCCCAGTCTGCAAACTATGACAATTTTGACGAAATCTCGTCAGTACGGGCTTGTTCGGCTGGTGCGGATTCGGTGTGGTGTGGTGCGGTGCGGATTTAGTGTAGTGCTGTACGGAATTGGCTTAGCGACGAACATGACAGACCAGACAAGATAGATTAGGAAAATCGAAGAAAAACATTGTTGGAGTTTCAACGTGTAATCCAGTGTGCTCTCGGGCCTAATGGAGTGTGGGGTGGTCAGAACGGACTGTGCCAGCGCTGGTGGTCCCATCAATCACGTAGGTTGCCCGCAAGTTCACACACACTCTTCGCACTGTTACAACACGAAACGCACCACTCGGCTCTGTGAGCCGTGAGGCGCCGGCGGTAGAGTGAGAGAGATGAGCGGGGAGATGGGAGGGACTCGAGGACGAGATGTGCACGGCCGATCACGATGGCAGGGCTACATCACCGCTCCACCGCTTCAAGGGGTCTATGTGAACGAGTTATCGGGTATGTTCAGCGCAGCTACTAATCGAAATAATCTGAGAAGACAGGGCTGGAGAAGACTGAGCGGATTACTAGGCCCGAGGGTCCTGGCCATGCACTGTAAGGTACCTAACATGCGACGATGTACGTTCGCAGGTAGTTTGTTCATTGAGTCGTCTGATGAGAAACAAAAGTTTTGCATGCATGAACTTCATGCATGCAAAAAAAGTTCAGTATGACGATCGAGGTTCAGTGCTCCGGAATCTGGGATCATTGCCTATTACCGGGTGCTGGTGTTACATCGACCGATATTCTCGATATTTATATGTTTTGGAATTGAATGACATAATACGGCATGGCTGCAGAAGGCCTCGGCCAAGCGGCACGGGCTAACCTCGGGCCCCCGGCGGAGGTGTGCACTGTGCAGCCTATCTTCAGGGAGCAGTCAGTACCTGAAATCATTTAATTCTGACATCGTATGTCGCTTAGGCTTCCGTAAGTGAATCCTCAGCGAAATTTATAAATTATGTTAGTGGAAGCTGAAGCAGTATCAGGTAGCAATAGAAATACCTGCTTTGTGTGAAACAGGGGCCGAGGTGGGCTGTGGCCAGCGTTGCGGACTGCAGAGATATAACATTTCTGGTCGGCTCCGGCACGCAGTACAGTGCTCGGTCGGCCCAGTTGACTTCATTCCTTCCTGTGCCACCGTTCACTCGGGTCACCGCGATGTTCCAGGTGGTCATCCTGCACCACATGCTCTCCAAGGCCAGCGTCCGCGCTCGGCCCAGCGTGCTCTGGTGCTACAAGAAGGACCTCGGCTTCAGCAGCCACCGCAAGAAGCGCATGCGGCAGCTGCAGAAGAAGATCAAGTCTGGCAACCTGAACGTGAACGAGGACGACCCGTTCGAGCTGTTCGTGGCGTCGACCAACATCCGCTACTGCTACTACAAGGAGACGCACAAGATCCTGGGCCAGACGTACGGCATGTGTGTCCTGCAGGTGAGAGGGATTATCGGACAGGTGTACAGTCTGTGCGTGCAGCTCCTTCACAGTATGTTACATGGCATGCATTAAACATTGCGTGAGGCGTACGTTGCCGATCTTTAGACGCCTGAGTTGTGTGTACATCCACAGCTGGCTGTTTTCTAGATTTTACCGATCTTTATTCCGTCTTAGCCCATTTATGATTTGCTTTTTTTCGTCAGCATAAAGACCGTGCTGAGTGTGTTGCTACTCGTAGGTTGCTGTTCCCCGCTCGTGGCCGGCCTACCCTGCGCCCGGCTTGTCGGTGGCAATTTTAATCGAAAGCTTAACGCATTGGAGGTAGATTGCGACACGATCCTTTCGGGTCTAGCGTGCCTCCCCTCTCGCCATTGTTTTGTTGGGTTAGGCCCTTTCGGTCTGACAAGACCATTGCAGAGCCGGAAGGATGATACGAATTAGGGGGAGACATTGGTCTGGGCAGACACCCTAGAGGGTCGCCGGGGCTGAGCCCGTCCGAATGGACAGGCCGACCAGCCCCCAAGCACTCTCTGCACCCGGCTACGGGGAGCGCTCCCTCGGGAGCAGCGGTCAATTGGCAGCAGCGGTCAATAAGGCCAGCTGCCAATTGGCAGCTGGCCTTATATAGGAACCCTAAAATATCTGAATCTGGGAGCAATAGGAAACGATGTGGAGCTCTTGGGCCGCGAACTCGCCGCCGACGGCGCGTCAGGAGACGGCGTTTTTGAGTCGCTGACGCCTACCGGTTCCGGCAGGACTTTGAGGCGCTGACGCCGAACCTGCTGGCGCGCACGCTGGAGACGGTGGAGGGCGGCGGCGTGATCGTGCTGCTGCTGCGCTCCGTCACCTCGCTGCGCCAGCTCTACACCATGAGCATGGACGTGCACGGCCGGTACCGCACTGAGGCGCACCAGCACGTGGTCGGCCGGTTCAACGAGAGGTGGGTGACGCCGCGCACCGGCCGACAGGGGTGGGTGGTATCGTAACTACAGCACGTGCAGTCGGCGAGAGGTGGGTGAGGGCGCGAACCGCCGTACAGGGCAGGAAGGCGGGGGGGGGGGGGGACTGCACCAACAGCACGTGGTCGGCAGGTTCAACGAGAGGTGGGTGAGGTTGGGGACCGGCCGACAGGGGCAGTTGTACCACACGAAGAATGGACTGTTTCTCTCGCACGGAGAGTTTCTGACGGGAGCAGAGGGGTGGAATCAGGTAGTGGATAATTTTATCGCACAATACGGACGATGTGAGTCTGATAAGAACTTAAGCAGGTATTGAATCGCCATCCGATGAAACAAAGTCGCCCTGTTATTTTCATCAAATGCCCCGGCTCCTGCCGCCCATACTCTGACCGCCGGTCCGGCTCCCGCCCGTACTCTGACCGCCGGACCGGCTCCCGCCCGTGCTCTGACTGCTGGTCCGGCTCCCGCCCGTGCTCTGACCGCCGGACCGGCTTCCGCCCGTACTCTGACCGCCGGACCGTCCCCCGCCGCCCGTGCTCTGACCTCTGGACGGTCCCTGCCGCCCGTACCCTGACTGCTGGACCGCCCCCGCCGCCCGTACTCTGACCTCTGGACGGTCCCTACCCTCGCGCCAGGTTCATCCTCTCTCTGGCGTCATGTCGGCACGCGCTGGTGATGGACGACCAGCTGAACCTGCTGCCGCTCAGCTCGCACGTGCTGCAGCTGGAGGCGCTGCCGAAGCGCTCGGCGTCCGACCCGCCGTCGGCCTCCGAGCGGCAGCTGACCGAGCTGCGAGACAGCCTGCAGGACACGCAGCCGGTGGGCGCGCTGGTGGGCTGCTGCCGCACCGCCGACCAGGTACGAGTACTGTCTGTCAGAGGGAGCGGGGGGAGGGTGGGCGCGCTGGTGGGCTGCTGCCGCACCGCCGACCAGGTACGAACGGGGCCCGTCCCGGGGGAGGGGGGGGGGAGCTGGTGGGCTGCTGCCGCACCGCCGACCAGGTACGAACGGACCAGGACGAATGGGGGGCTGCTGCCGCACCGCCGACCAGGTACAAACGGGGCCAGTCCCGAGGCGTGAGGGAGGAGCGGCGAAGGAGTTGTTCAGCATGCGTGTTGCGATCGAGTTCTGCTCAGTGGAGCCGTTGGCCGGCCAACAAATAAGCAGTTTCTACTTTCTCGGGGGGGGGGGGGTGTAGTGTGATGAGTAGAGCAGTTTGCGTGTCCGTCGTGCCTGTTCCTGAATGCTCCCCTCCACCCATTACTAAACTCCCGCCTGGTCGGCGACAGGCCAAGGCGCTACTCAAGTTTGTGGAGGCCATCAGCGAGAAGCGTCTGCGCTCCACCGTATCTCTGACGGCCGCCCGGGGCCGCGGAAAGTCGGCCGCGCTCGGGCTGGCCATCGCCGCGGCCGTCGGCTTCCAGTACTCCAACATATTCGTCACCTCGCCGAGTCCCGAGAACCTGAACACCCTGTTCGAGTTCGTGCTGAAGGGCTTCGACGCCATGGACTACCAGGAGCACCTGGACTACGAGCTGATCCAGAGCACCAACCCCGAGTTCAACAAGGCCGTGGTGCGCGTGAACGTCTTCAAGGAGCACCGGCAGACCATCCAGGTAGGGCTGTGTGACCGGTCGGCGCCGGCGCCGACCGGTAGCGGCGGGATGCCACTAAATGTGATGCAGCCGCGCCACCAGTGTTACCAGACTAGCCGAGCTGTTCGGAGGTCTTTTGGACTTGGAGGTGATAACGGGCTACTCATGTAACGCTTAAGTCGCACTGTGATAATCTGATGGTGTGATGTGACTGACGCCACGGTGAAATGATACTTACGTCACAGTTTCTTGACTTCCCCCTGTTCCCAGTACATCCACCCAAGTGACTCGGTGAAGCTGGGCCAGGCCGAGCTAGTGGTGATTGACGAGGCGGCCGCCATTCCGCTGCCGCTGGTCAAGGCGCTGCTCGGGCCCTACCTGGTCTTCATGTCGTCCACCATCAACGGGTGAGTGCCAGCGCCGAGTGGGTCGCTCTAGTGAGGGGCCGAGAGTCCCTCTGTGTTTCTCAGCGTGTTTCATAGATAGTCTGGAGTTCTTCTCTGGTCGATCGTTCGTTCTCCGCTGGTCTACTGCGTCTGTCGCACTTGACCCCCTGTCGTGTCGCCAGGTATGTACGAGGACACGGAGCGCCCGCTGTCGATTTTAACCCCCTCTGTCTCCTCGCCAGGTACGAGGGCACGGGCCGCTCTCTGTCGCTCAAGCTGCTGGAGCAGCTGAGGTCCCAGAGCGGCGCCGGCTCCACCGCCGCCAAGGCCGGCGCCGAGGCGCAGAACGCCGGACGGACCCTGGTCGAGGTGAACGGGGCGGGGACGGGACGAGATGCCGGCGTAGAATCAGTCCGAACGGGACAAGTATGCCGGATCGTCCTTTGGTCTGACTCATACAATATGCATATGAGTGTGGAAGTAATTGTGCAGTTTCATCCGACTGCAGAGGTGCGCCAGCGGGACGCAGTATAAACGACATGCTCTTTTTAGCCATCTTACCACGAGTAATTATTAATTGTATTTAGTAATTGTTCCTATTGGCGCAGAAATAATTGTTTATTTAGTCACACCCGGACGGAGACTCCTGCACACGACGGATTCCCCTGCCCTACGGCCGCTTCGCACGTTTCCGTGTCCCTGTTCGAGTTGATCAATGATCATGTTACCCTCCACTCCCAATAGGTGTCTCCGGACGAGTTGATCACGTTTTTCACATTTCCCTCAGTACTGATGTCCCTGGACGCGCCCATCACGCCTCCCTCTACTCCACTCAGGTGTCTCTGGACGAGTCGATCCGGTACCGGCCCGGCGACCCGATCGAGTCCTGGCTGAACGCGCTGCTCTGTCTGGACGCCAGCGCGGTGCGGCCGCTGAGCACCGGCTGCCCGCCGCCCGAGCACTGCGAGCTCTACTATATCAACCGAGACACGCTCTTCTGCTACCACCGCGCCTCTGAGGCTTTCCTGCAGCGGCTCGTCTCGCTCTACGTCGCCTCGCACTACAAGGTGGGCAGTGGGCGGCATCGAGCGGGCTGAGAGCTCGGGTTGGCCTGCTGTGTGAGTAGTGGCGACTGGCGAGATCACCTACCGAATAAAAATAGGTGTTCAGGAGTAAAGTAGTTAATGTTGTTCAGTCCATGAGTGGGATCTTATTGACGGCTGAAGTATGGTGGTGGGTCCGAGCTGATTTGGCTCATCTGACCGGGACTTTTGTCTGCGCTGTTTCCAGAACACGCCCAACGACCTCCAGATGATGTCTGACGCGCCGGGCCACCACCTGTTCTGTCTGCTGGGGCCCGTGGCAGCCAGCCAGTCGCTGCTGCTGCCGAGATCCTCTGCGTGATTCAGGTGAGAGCGGTCCCCCGCCGGGAGTCAGCTGACCCCCACTGGGGCCCGTGGCGGCCAGCCAGTCCCTGCTGCCAGAAATCCTCTGCGTCATACAGGTGAGAGAGTGAGCCGACAGACCCCATCGGGGCCCGTGGCGGCCAGCCAGTCGCTGCTCCCCGAGATCCTCTGCGTCATACAGGTGAGAGAGTGAGCCGACAGACCCCATCGGGGCCCGTGGCGGCCAGCCAGTCCCTGCTGCCAGAAATCCTCTGCGTGATTCAGGTGGGAGACGCGGCCCGGCTATCACTCTGGGACAACGGGCCTCCACTAGGCTAGCAGACCTCCACTTTAACTGCGTTGGCCTCAGAAATTTGTGGTTAGGATCTTTTTATTTAAATCAAGTTTCCGTGTGGGTATGTAAAATGATGATTTCATGTTTTTCATGTTTTTATGTTTTTTTTTAAATATATGTCTCATCACCCGCACACTGAAAGAAGCAGTAGTGCTTGGTGTATTGTGTACTGATTTATATAGATGTGTTGCACATCATCTGCTCATTCGTGCAGTATTCCGTTGATTGACCTGACAGCAACAAATAACGTAAATCTGTATGTGGCCAGGTGTGTCTGGAGGGCGAGATATCCAAGACATCCATCCTGGACGGCCTGTCTCGCGGGAAGCGCGCCGCCGGCGACCTGATCCCCTGGAACATAGCGCAGCAGTACCAGGACAAGGAGTTCCCGCAGCTGTCGGGCGCCAGGGTGGTGCGCATCGCCACCCACCCCGACTACCAGGGCGTGAGTGGCCGTGGGGCCGGGCAGGAACGGCGCCCTGAGTTTAGTGGGGACGGGGGGCTGGGCTTATTGGATGTTACTGAACGGCGGTAACAGTAAAGATGTTGAACGGGAGGGGCAAACCTGGCTTGTAGTCGCTGACCGTCTTAGGAGCTGTTTAGGGGAAGAGCTGTTTAAAAACGCGCCTCAGTTAATCGGTATGGGGGAAGGGGCCGGGTTTTGGCGTCTCGGGGAGTGGGGCAGTGAATGCATAGATCTCTGGACACGGCAGATGGGATTTACTGTTACTAGAGGTACAGGTTTACCGATAACTGTATGTTTTGATTTATGTTATGTTACGGGTGCATCAGTTTTGGGTGATTGACTTGTATTTTAGCTGTATTATTTGGGTAGATTTGGGTAGCTGTTTTTAATTGAACTGTAAGGGATGGTGATAGTTGCGGGGTGTTCAAGTGTTTTGTATGTTGGGCCCTTTTTGAACTCAAC